GATAAAAAATAATAAAGTCTATTTCCATAAAATCAATGATTTCAGTAAGAGAACAAACAAGTTAATTGAAATAAGGAAATCAATTTAGTGAAAGTCAGGAACAGAAGACAAAAGTTAAGCAATGATCCAATATCCGTGAACCAATAAATTTTTGTTTTTAAGAAATACAGCCCATAGGTAAAATGAAAGCAAAGTACAAGGAGTACAAGGAGTAGCTATGCTTACATCTCATAAAATAGAACTCAAGCAATAATTAGTAGAGGTGTGTGTGGCTACCACACATTAATAAAGTGAACAACTTTTCAAGATAATGTAATGATTATAAATATACTCTTACTGAAGATTAGAGAATACAGGTTTATTTAAAAAGCAAAAATCTTTTGGAAAAATACTGGAAATAAAGGTATATAAAGGTCATTATGTAATGATAGTTGTTGACTTTGATATTCCACTCACATCAATAGATAGGTGTACTGGCTTGAACAAGATTGATCTCCATAACCTCACACATTTGCATGCATGCTTAGTCCCCAATTAATGAGCTTTCAGGGAGGAATTAAGAGCTGTGGCCTTGTTGGAGGATGTGTCACTAAGGGTGGACTTTGAGATTTCAAAAGCCCAACACCAAGTCTAATCCCACCCCCTCTCTCTGCTGATTGTGAATCGGAATGTAAAGCTCTCAGCTACTGCAGTACCATCATGCCTACCTGTGTGCCATCATGCTCCCCACCATAATGATAAGTAACTAACCCTCATAAACTGCAATTAAACTCCTAGTTAAATATTTTGTTTTGTAAGAGTTGTCCTGGTCATTGTGTCTCTTCACAGCAATAGAGCAGTGACTAAGACTGCCAGTAATCAAGATAAAAGTAACCTACTAAAAAGTTTCAGAGTTAAACTCCATCTCAGATCAAATGATTTAACAACTTGATGGGTAATATTCCATTCAACAGAGCTGTGAAATACATATTCTTCATAGGATCCCATTGAAGTTTCCCTAAAATACATGACATTTTGTCATAAAGTAAGTCTTAACAAACACAAAGCTGGGCGTGGTGACACACATCTTTGATCCTAGCACCTGGGAGGTAAAGGCAGGCAGATCTTTGTGAGATTGAGGCCAGTATGGTCTACAAAGTGAGTTCCAGGACATCTAGAGTTTTTACACAGAGAAAATCTATCCAAAACAACAACAACAACAAAAACAAATATTTCTTGTATTTTCCCACATCTCAGTGCAGTAAAATTATAAACTATTAAGAAAATACATTATAGATATCCTAGCAACATATGAAGATTAAACAAAAACACTTATTTGATAAGTAGGTTACTGAAAAAATTAGAGACGATTTAAGAAAATGAATAAAACAAAAATGAATTGAGTTATCAAAACCTTTGAAATAGAGCAGTTCATTTTTAGAAGAAAATTTACACATGTGAATGTTTACCATTGAAAAGTAGAGATCTCAAACTAATAGACTAATGGCTCACTTCTAGATCTAAAAAAAAAATCAAACAAAAAATTAGTGGTTGGAAAGAAATAATTAAAATCAGAAAAAGAGTTAGTGAATGGAACATGAAAGAACAATGCACAGATCCAGGAGAAAGGGTTGATTTTTCTAAAAATGAACAGCAAAGTCAAGTCCTTGTCCAGAGTAGCTAAATCATGACAAAGAAGACCTAGATAAAGGTATTCATAGAGTAAAGGGGATGTCACAACACCTATCATGTAATCCAGAAGGTCACCAGGGGACATAATATAGAAAATCTAGGTGAAGCTGACAGATTCCTAGATACATAAAGATTTATCAAATCTAAATGAAGAAAATATATCTGGGAGTAGGAAGATGACTGAATAGTTAGTGATACTTCTTGATTTTCCAGAGGACTCAAGTTTGCTTCCCAGCACTTATTTAAGGTGGTTCACAACAATCTAAACCCCAGTTCCAGGGCTTTATATACTCTCTTATGACTTCACTGGGACCTGACACACATGTAGCACATTTACACAATACACACAGATACGAGTACGCATGTGCACATGGTAAAAATATTCAATAGAAAAAAGAATATACGCTATTTGAAACTATTAATGATTAGCAACAAATTTGAAGTATTAATAAGAAAATTCTTCCAACAAAAAATTAAGACCCGAGATAGAATATTGAATACTATTAGAACTTTAAAGAATATTCCTCAAATTTTTTCATAACCTATAAATGAATAAACCACTTTCAAACTTATTCTATGATACAATAATGAACTCTATACTAAAACCTAGTAAGTATACAATAATGAAAACAGAAAATTATAGATCATTGTTCCTATCAAACATACACACAATAATTCTCAATAAAATACTTCAGTTCCAAATTCAATAGACACTAAAAGGAACACACAACATGATAAATTTAGTTTAATTTTAGAGATGCAAAAGTTGTTTAACATGCATAAACATAAATGTAATACAGTACCTAAATACAAAGATAGAAATTATATCATCATTTCAATAGGTGCAGATAAGGGCATTGACCAAGTTTAGTCTTCCTTCACAATAAAAGCTTTAAAAAATAGGAAGAGCAGAAACACATTTAAAATAAATTGTCCTGTGTTTCTTTTTTTTTTTTTTTTTTTTTTTTTTTTTTGGTTTTTCGAGACAGGGTTTCTCTGTGTAGCTTTGCGCCTTTTCCTGGAACTCACTTGGTAGCCCAGGCTGGCCTTGAACTCACAGAGATCCGCCTGGCTCTGCCTCCCAAGTGCTGGGATTAAAGGCGTGCGCCACCAACGCCCGGCAGTGTTTCTTTTGATGTGATAAAATACCATGACCAAAAGTAACTTGGGAAGGAAAGGATTTATTGTTCCTATGTATTCGAGACTATGGTCCATTGAAGAAAAGTCGAATGGAATTTCCAGGAAGGAACCTGGAGGCAGGAACTGAAGCAGCATCCATGGAGGAGTGCTGCTTACTGGATTACTCACTTTGCCTTCTTATCTGCCCCAGGACTAACTACCCAGGGACTGAATCACCCACAGTAGGCTAGGCCCTTCCATGTCAATCATCAATCAAACCTAAGACACCCCTACAGTGAAAATTTTAAAGAAATTGAAAAACATACAAGAGTATGGAACAAATTCCTTCATCTACTGACAGAATTAACATTGTGAAAGTAGTCATGCTGCCAGAATCTGTCTTCAGATTCAATACTATCCTAATCAACATTCTAATAAAGTTCTTTATAGAAACAGAAAAATCAACTTTAAGGTTCACATAGCAGAAAAAAGACTCTGGACAGCCAAAGAAAGCATAAGGAGGTATTCATCTAACAGAGGATTAATATGTAGAATCTGTGAAGAACAGAAAGAATTAAATATGAAAGAAATCCAATGAAACAGATGGACAAGTGAATTGAACAAGCAGTTCTCAAAAGAAAAAATATCAATGTCAATAGATATCTGAAAAGTAACTAACATATTTAGTCATCCAGAAAAGGCAAATTAAAAATTCATTGTATCTGACCCTGGTTAGAATTGTTCTTTTCAAAAAACAAACAGAATAAAATAGCAAATGCTCCACAGTGTCTAGTGATGAAGGACCATTCTATCTGGCTAGGGAGTGCAAGCCAAGGAAACAATTGAAATCAACATGGGTTTTCTCTAAAACCTTGGCATACAACTCCTATATTATTCAGTTACCTCACCCTTGGGTATGTATACATAATGAAATCCAACTCAGTATATCACAATCAGACATACACATCCATGCTGATTGCAGCACTATTCGTGATAAGCAAGGTACACACACAGTCCAGATGCCCATTACCAGATGAAGGGATAAAGAAAAATGTGGTATCTATACACAATGGTGTTTTAGAAAGTTGTAAAGAATAATGAGATTATTTGAAAGAAAATGTATGTACATTGATAGAGACGATCATTTTAAACAAGCCACATGAAAGAAACACAAAAGACTCATATTTTTCTTTGTATGTAGAATCTAAATTTTATTTATCTTTATTTTATCATTTGTGTGTGTGTGCACACACAACACATGCCTACACCCACATGCCCCCCAACACACACACAGAAATGTGTTTGCAGTCGCTTATTCTCAGCACTTTGACCAGTTTTGAGTCTCTGAATTAACCTTGTCCCCTGGCATAAAAATGCTCCACTGACATGTGCTGAAAACAGCACTGATCTGTGGGAACAAACATACATATTTAGAATGCAATTTGACTACATGCCATTTGGCAAAACACCAGTAGTGGATTTCCCCCCAGAGCCTCTAGTCTCCTCAGTGATGAATTTCTGACCAAGTTTACAGTGTCAAGCTTATATTTGTCCCATGGAGTAGATCTCAGATCCAATCAGAAAGAAATTTTGTATCCTCAAACCAGTGATGTCACTATGGCATTGGTGGGTACCTCTTGACAGGTGGGAAAATGTTGAAGCATGAGGTCCATAGCTGAATTCTCTCTCCTGGATGCCTATTATGGTATGTCACATGCTAGCCAGCAGGAATGAAACTTCCAGCTCAGTTCCAGCTTGATTTCTTGAGTCCTGAATTTGAAGTTTTCAGCAATCAGATTTCACTATCTAGTTTTGGTTGGTAACCAAGAACAAAGGCAATATTTGCTCTACTGGTTGAGCAGTCTGGGGCTTCCTGGTCAACAACATGTCTGATGGTATCCTGTACCTGGATCAGAGATTTCTCTTTAAAATCAATGGCTCTTGCAAAGCAGTAGTACCTTTGTGCAAACTCTTCCTTCTCTTTTCAAGATGAAAATATAATTAAATCATTTCCCCTTTCCCTTACCCCCCTGCAATCCCTCCCATGTGTCTCCTCTTTCCTGTCTTTCAGTCTTTAAATTCAAGATCTCTTTTTAACATTTTATAATCGTGTGTGTGTGTGTGTGTGTGTGTGTGTGTGTGTGTGTGTGTGTGTATTTTCAGAGTTGACCACTTCCTACTGGCTAACCAGTTTGTATGCTCTTTCCTAGAGGTGACCGAACAAGAACAATACCAATAGATGTGCTGCTAATGTGGACAAGTGCAAGCTGATTGGGCCTCAAGCCAGGACAAAGATCTACAGACAACTATGGACATTTTTTAATGATATCTTTAGTTAGTTTATAAAGCAGTAGTTTTCTAAATGCATTTTTGTATACATCCTGAGTTTACTTGACCCCCGCCCCTTACCCTACAACATTCCCTCTTTTCTCCATCTCAACCAGTATCTAAACTTTCTCTCTGCTTTCCTGTTACATAAGCTGTAATACCCACCAGGACTTTCAGCTCTTCTCCCATCCTGTTGCTCCTGGTTTCTGCAACATTTCAACTTAAACACAAATCTTAAAATTTGGAGCTAACCTCTGCATTTGTGAGCAAAAGCATTACAGACCTGGGTTACCTCAATATAATAATTTCTAGCTCATCTATTTGCATGGAACGACAATTTTTCTTTAATGCTAAGTATATGAACCACATTTTTTATAATCAGTTCATCATTTAATGGACTTCTAAGCTCATTAATTTCCTACATATTGTAAGTAGAGCAAAAATGAACTTGGAGATACAAGTAGAGTTTAGAGTCCTCTGGGTATATGTCCCGGAGTGGTATAGCTAGGTCATCAAGAGTTCTACTTTTAGCTTTTTGAGAAGGCCTCACACTAATTTCCATAGTGTTTGTACTAATTTACACTCTTGCCAACAGTGAATAAAGTCTCCCCTCTCCCTATACTCTAGCCAGTATTTGTTCTCCTTTGCTTTCTTGAGGATAGGCATTCTGACTTGAATGAGATGGAATCCTTTTCTTTCTTTCATTTTTTATTAATTTGTTCTTTATGTCTTTCACATCATGTCTCCTGATCCCCCTCATCTCCCTCCCCACTCCAAAATGAATGAATGAATGAATAAATAAATAAATAAAGTTTAAGAGAAAAAGAGGTAAAGAAAAAGTAGGAAGAAGGAGAAAGTCTCATCATGAAAGCTGAGGTGTAACTTAGTGAGTCACCTAATAAACCCCTTTATCCATATATGTTTACATGCTTATGTTTATCGTGAAGAATCAATGGTGTAGTTCGAGGCCTCTGGTCTCTGTTGCATCATCAGTGCTGGTCCCTTGTGGTGGTATTTTACTTGTACTGAAATGTGATTTTAATTGTATGTTAATAAATAAAGTTGTCTGGGGGTCAGAGCTATTAGAGCCATAGCAAGTGCGTGGCAGTGGTGGCGCATGCCTTTAAGGACCTGGAGGGCGGTACATACAGGCAGTGATGAGGCAGTCACATGTTTGGGTTTACAACCAATGAGGAAGGCAGAACAGCTAGAGTATATAAAGACATACACACAGGAAGTAGGTCCCTTTCGGAGAGCTCTCTTGGCTGAAGAGGATCCCTGAATCAGGAAGGGTGAGGCTCTTAGCTCTGACCTCTTGGCTTTCTTCTCTGAATCGGCTCTGTGTTTCTTATTTAATAAGACGGTTGGTTACATCTACATTTGGCGCCCAACGTGACAAGAATCCATTAAAAACCGCTTAACAGGGCGGCCGGCAGGTCCGGTTTCCCGCCAGGGCAGCCAGCAGGTCCGGTTTCCCACCAGGGTGGCTGGTTCCCTAGCCTGGGCCCAGGTCAGCTTGGCCTCAGGCCGGACTAACCTTGAGCTACTTGCTTAAAGTCAGTGCTACAAACAACTCAGGCCTGCCCTGCCGAACAGGGCCCCTGCCTGTAAAGCCAAAACACGTGGCTGGACCTTAAGGTAGCCAGAGCCAAGGCTTGACTAGGCTCAAGCAGGAACACGTGGCTGGATTCAAGTTCTTAGGAAGAACTTGCGGCTATGGTTCTTGCGTGTTCTTTCTCTCTCTCTCTCTCTCTCTCTCTCTCTCTCTGGATTCACACCTCAGACACTAGGTGGCTGTTTTGAAATTCCCTCGGATTGGTACTGTTCTACGAGGACTTGGTAAGTCACTTAACATATCAGATATTTTAAAGGAAACTATTTAAAAGAGAAATTTTTTTCCACATTAAAAAAAATGGGTTTTCTGTGTTCATCAGAAGAAAATTGGACTTTGTTTGCAATTTTAAGCAGTCTGACAATGGAACAGCTATATGAGAAGATTAATGTTGATCATATTATGCATTTTATTACTATGCTTATCCTCATTTTACTATTTAAAAAGATAGTCAATTTAAGTGCCAGGGTGACAGCTTTAGAAAAACTTGGTAAACCTGTAAAAACTCAGACAGAAGAAACTAACAGTGAAGTTGCTTCAAGATTGGATCATAGGGTTACAGAAAGAAAGCCTGTTTTCACACAGTCACCCTTAGTTTGTCCAGTAACCATACAGCAGTTACCTGATCAAATGACTACACAAAATATTTGGGCTCCAATTGAAATGTTAGATTTACGAAGGTTTAAGGAGGCAATAGTATCTTATGGCATGCATTCCCCATATGTAAAGCAAATGTTAAACTCTTGGTCAACATATAATAGGATTGTACCACAGGACTGGCGGGAGCTGGCACAAGCTGTTCTTGAACCCAGTCAAAGGCTTCAGTGGCTAACTTGGTTCAAGGATGAAGCTAAAAACATAGAAAAACAGTGGAGGGATAAAGGAATACAAGTCTGCCAGGATCAGCTTATTGGAGAAGGTCAATATGCTTCAGCACAAACACAATGTTTATATGATGTCCAAACCCTAGCTTTATGTCGAACAGCATCCTTGAATGCATGGGACAGAGTTGAGGAACCAGGAAAAAAACCTGAGTCATTTACAAAGGTTGTACAAGGCCCAAAAGAATCTTTCACAGATTTTTTACAAAGACTGGCTTCAGCAGTAAAGAGAATGGTCCCGGATTCAGAAGCTAGTCAGATAATAATTGAATCTTTGGCCTTTGAGAATGCAAATGCAGCATGTAAAACAATAATCAGGCCATTAAAAAAAAGATCTGCACCTTTGGAAGATTGGATTAGAGACACGGTTAATGTTGAAGCTCATGAGCATGATGATACGTGGGTAGGAGAAGCAATTTCAAAAGGTTTGAGCAATGTTAGATGTTTTGGATGTGGAAAGCAAGGATATTTGAAAAGGGACTGTAAACAGGTCATTCCTAGAAACAATGTTTCTTCAAGGAACAATGGCAGAAGAATGCCCCTTCCTTCTGGAGTATGCAGAAGGTGTGGTAAGGGAAAACACTGGACCAACGAATGTAGATCAACAAGGGACAGACAGGGTAATCCTTTGCCTCAGTCTTCGGGAAACTCCCAGAGGGGCCTCATGCAGGCCCCAATAGCAAATCCAGTTCAAACCTTTCCATGCAGTCGTAGAGGACACCCCTACTCAGAGCAATTAAATAACCAAATGCCTATTGGAATAAGTCATGCTGGTCAGGATGATGAAACAGAGAGAATAGAAAATTCAGGAGAAAACATAGGGAAAATTTTTTAGCAAACTTCTATTAATGAACAAAGACCAAAATTATCAATAAAAATAAATGGTGTTTTGTTGTCTGGTCTGGTAGACACAGGTGCGGACGTTACCATAATTGCACCAGAATTTTGGCATCCAACTTTGCCTCTTCAGGAGGTAAACTTTCAACTGTTAGGAATTGGGACGTTACCTCAGGTGAAACAGAGTGAAAGATGGCTTGAATGTATAGGTCCAGAAGGACAGAGAGGAAAATTGAAACCATATGTAGCTAACATAGCTATGAATCTGTGGGGATGAGACTTGTTGCAACAATGGAATACTCAGATTAACATCCCTCCAATCTCAGAAACAAATCATAAACTAGCACATGTTTCTGAGAGAAATATTAGAAGGCATTATTCTGAGTGGTCACCAGCCATCCATATTATACAAGAACAGGCACAACAACTGATGATCTTCCAAAAGCAACAACAGCTCTACCTTTAAAATGGTTAACAGACAAGCCTGTATGGGTCCAGCAATGGCCTTTAACAACAGAGAAACTCCAGGCTTTAGAAGAGCTGGTAGAAGAACAGTTAAATGCTCAGCATATTGAGGAATCAACCAGCCCTTGGAATTCTCCTGTATTTGTTATTAAGAAGAAATCTGGTAAATGGAGAATGGTAACAGACCTTAGAGCAATTAACAAAGTAATTCAGCCAATGGGCTCTCTACAATCTGGAATTCCTTTGCCTACTCTGTTACCAAAACGATGGCCTCTCATAGTTATTGATTTAAAAGACTGTTTCTTTTCAATACCCTTACAAGAAAAAGACAGAGAAAGATTTGCTTTCACAGTGCCTACTTATAATAATTCTCAACTGGTTAAAAGATTTCAATGGAGGGTCCTCCCACAGGGAATGTTGAATAGCCCAACTCTGTGCCAATATTGTGTACAACAGCCATTGGAAGTGATACGTAAAAAATTCCCTAAATCTATAATTTATCATTATATGGATGATATTTTACTAGCTGACTCAAATGCAGATACTTTAGAAAGAATGTTTGAAGAAGTAAAGAAAATTTTGCCTTGCTGGTGATTACAAATTGCTCCTGAAAAGATACAAAGAGGAGATTCTATTAATTATTTAGGATATAAAATAGAGCTACAAAAAATTAGACCCCCAAAAGGTGCAAATTAGGAGAGATAGACTACAGACTCTTAATGACTTTCAAAGATTATTTGGAGATATTTCTCATCTACGAACTATTGTTGGGGTAAAAAATGATGAACTGTGCCGGGCGGTGGTGGCGCACGCCTTTAATCCCAGCACTCGGGAGGCAGAGGCAGGCGGATCTCTGTGAGTTCGAGGCCAGCCTGGTCTACAGCTCGAGATCCAGGAAAGGCGCAAAGCTACACAGAGAAACCCTGTCTCGAAAAACCAAAAAAAAAAAAAAAAAAAAAAAAGATGAACTGCATAATTTGTTCAAAACCTTAGAAGGTGACAAGGACTTAAATAGTCCAAGAGAATTATCACCTGAAGCTGAGAAAGAATTGGCCTTGGTAGAAAAGAAAGTACATAAAGGGCACGTGGATCATATTGATCCAAAGCTGGATTGCATTTTGGTTATTTTACCTTCTAGGCATACTCCTACAGGAATATTAATGCAGAGGGAAGATATTATATTAGAATGGATATTTTTACCAAATACACCAAATAAAAAATTAAAAACTTATGTGGAAAAAAATCTCTGACTTGATTTGGAAAGGAAAATTGAGACTTCGTCAATTAGCAGGAATAGACCCAGCAGAAATTGTCGTACCTTTAACTAAGGAGGACATTGAAAAATTATGGACAGAAAGTGAACCTTGGCAAAGAGCTTGCAGTAATTTTTTGGGAGAAATTAACAGCAAATATCCAAAAAGTGATAGAATTGATCTTATAAAGAGAACTGATTGGATCTTGCCTCGAATTGTACGGGAAAAACCCATATCTGGAGTTCGTACATTTTATACAGATGCCAACAAACAAGGAAAGGCAGGTTACAAATCAGAAAATTTAAGTAAAGTGGTTCAAAGTCCTTATAATTCAGTTCAGAAATCAGAATTGTATGCTATTCTGTTGGTATTAATGGATTTTTCAGAAACTCTCAACATAGTTACTGACTCTCAGAATGCTGAAAGAGTAGTATTACATATTGAAACTGCAGAATTTATCCCTGATGCTTCAGAATTAACTTCACTATTTATTCAGTTACAAGATACAATCAGGAAAAGGAGTCATCCTTTATATATAACTCACATTTGATCCCATACTGGTCTGCCAGGCCCTTTAGCACAAGGCAATGATGAGATTGATAAATTATTGATAGGAAATGTGCTGGAGGCCTCAGAATTTCTTAAAAAACATCATGTCAATAGTAAAGGTTTAAAAAAGGATTTTTCCATAACCTGGCAACAAGCCAAAGAAATAGTAAAGAAATGTCCTACTTGTTCCTTCTACAATCAAACGCCATTACCAGCAGGATGTAACCCAAAGGGTACTCTAAGGAATGAAATCTGGCAGATGGACGTGTTTCACTTTACAGAATTTGGAAAACTGAAATATGTACACCACACTATCGATACTTATTCAGGATTTCAGTGGGCAACTGCTTTGAGTTCTGAAAAAGCTGATTCTGTAATCACTCATTTGCTAGAAGTTATGGCCATCATGGGTATACCTGCACAAATGAAAACTGACAATGCTCCATCATATGTCTCTGTTAAAATGAAACAGTTTTTTTGCTTATTACAATATAAAGCATATTACAGGCATACCACATAATCCTACAGGTCAAGCAGTTATAGCAAGATCAAACAGAACTCTAAAGGATATGCTAAATAAACAGAAAGGGGTAACAAAAACCCCCAGAAACAGACTGCATAATGCTCTATTAACTTTGAATTTTCTTAATACCAATGATAAAGGAACAACAGCTGCAGAGAGACATTGGATAATAGAAAAAACTACAGAATTAAATCAGCCTATATACTTTAAGGATGTGCTGACCTCAGAATGGAAACCAGGGTATGTGTTACGT